ATATAATATATATATATATATAATATATATATATATATATAGAGGCCTATATAAAGAGACAAACTTTACACAGTATACTTGACTATCATAATAACCTACAGCATTTCTAAAATTATTTACATGGACTTACTTGCCAGTCGATTGCGTAATAAGCAGTCAAGTGGACGATCTGCTTCAATTAAGTTCACCCTCCCGTGTTCAACCTTGATCTCATTAAGTCACCAAACCCAACAATTAATCAGTTCCCTAAAATACAAATTACAATTTAATAATTTCGTGAAAAAAAAATGTGATCCTCTTCAAGTAATTTGCTATAGAATGTGGTCTATGAACAATCGAGTCAGCCCCTCGACATAATCCCTCCAATTGTCATTAATATTCCCGGATCTGCTTAACCTAATAACGCTAAGTCCTTCCTGCAAAAAGTGAACCTAATTAAAGTTTTTGGGATAAATGTTCTAAAATCACCACTTTAAAACCGAATCGACATTGTTAATTATGTTAATTAATTAATTAATTAATTAGTAAATTTGATTATTATTCGATTAAAATAAATAAATAATAACACACTAAACATGTAGTACATATTATTATTTGCCAGGCTCCGGAGGAAAACAATATTGGTGATATGTTGATATAACTGATTTTTTTAATACACAAAAAGCATATTCAACGAAAAAATCGGAAACGGTTAAGATACAGATTTTGAATATCTAATAACGGGGGATGGGGGTCGAGAGGGGCTTAACCGCCCTTTCTTCACCTTCCCCCACCCCAGGTTTTAAGTATTCAAAAATCTGTATCTTATCAAAGAGTATTATACTCTTTGATCTTATCAACTGTTTAATCGTCAAATTTTTATGTCTTAGAAAAATCAGTTGTACAACATATCGGATTATTTTCCCTCCGCGGGCAATTTTTTTACTCATTATTATTCACTGTTTACAGATATCAATAATAAATATTATTGTACTATGTAAGGCCTCATAATTATATAAATATTGATATAGGCTATATTGTTTTAACCTGGGTGTGTACTTGATATCTCTATAGATGAGTATAAATATAAATATCTAAGCAAAATTCTAAATATTTGTTTTATTTAATATTACAGTATAGGTCTTTTATATTTGATAGTAAAAAATGATATGGTTAATTTAACATCGATCTAATACGTCATTACTCTTATTGTATATGACCTTCTTACGCTCTAGTTACCGTCGGATTCTTCGAACACGCCATCTGATTGGTCAGTGAGTTAGCTCCGCCCTCTTCCATCACTAATGGCAACGACGCAGTAGATAAAGTTAAGGTGACACAAAAATTATCAGTTAACGTTAAATGCCTGTTAGCATCAACAGGTGAGAACAGATTTCTTGGGAGAGAAAATAAACTGAATGACTTGATTGAAGGAAACTATAATCATCATTTGCGAGAAAATATCGGTTTTCATTTTGCGATTTCTCAAAGCTGTTTTAAGTCAATTGCTTTTTAGATTTGTACCTTGATTTTGTGATCAAAACGTTAATGTGAGATGGTTCAATGCGGTACGATGTCCGGCTTAGGTCCCAAATCTTCACAGTACGGTGGCATCCTACATTCGACAACGATCGAAACATGTAATTTACTACACTTTGTAGATATGGCTTCGAGTAATATCAAGCTTGCATTGGATCGACCAATCAAATCAAAGAGGAAAGTCAATCATCGCAAGTACCTCCAAAAACAAATCAAACGATGTGCACAGCTTGCTAATAATTTACAAACTCATGGTGAGAAAAAAGAAGTAGATAAAACCAAAACAGACTATCAAACACCGAAATTGTCATCTAAAAAAACATCTCACAGACGAGATACGACGCAAGCTGGTCTACAGAACAAATCTTTATCCGATTTATTTGATGTGCGTAAAAAAACTTGTGACGGACGTCCGAAAAAATTGTCGAATATTTCAAAAGTTCCGCTGCGAGAGCGCAAACTTCCGTCATCATTTTTTACCGAGCCTGCACAAATTGATTGGCAGGATTTTTCAAAAGAGCAGATTGGCCATCGGCATCTGCCTGATTTAGGTATCAGTGAAGGATTGGATTGGCTAGCTAACCCCACAGACTTAAGTGAAATTATTGGAGACTGGCAAGATGAGCTCCCTCAAACTGATGGCAACTCAATAGGCGATTCCTGCAGCAGCATAAGCGCTGCTTCACCCGCCGCCTCAGAACAATTCTTTGATGACATGTGTTGGCCTAACGTGTACCAGGATTCGACGCCAAATCAAACTATGCAACCTCATTTCGAAGAGTTTGGACATTTTAGGGGAGAACAATATGCCCCGGTAGAGTCCCCAACTGTTCCAATTATAAACCAACCCCCTCAGACTTCGTATCTGCAATGTGCAGAGGGAATTATTCCACATATCGTTGACACTATAGACGATATCTGCAATTCATATAATAATCCATCCCCTCAGCAAGACGCGTATGTTGCCATGAGCAACGGAGCATTGCCAACATTTCCTCAAGCATTCGCACACAAATTCCCATCGGAATGGTGCCATGAAAGTACGCAGAATTGTTACGCGGTACTTTAGCTATCCATAGATGATAACTTTAGACTTTCCTATTTTCATTTTGGACAAGCCTACCTGTTTAAGAGTTGTTTTCATTTTTACGTGTAATCCACAGGATTATCTTCCGATAGAAGCATTTTACTCGGGAAAATAATTTTCTATTATAATTTGACCTTAGTTTAAGCTGGTAGATACTAACAAAAGTGTTAGATTAACAATGAAATATTCATAAACAGAATAGTGGTTAGCAAAGAGAACAAGGCTTACATTCCATCGAGCTATCGTAGTATATAGACAATTTTGCAGAGCATTTCCGCTCGAGTCGGAGACGAGTAGCACTCAAAAACACGAGTAGGTGTTTGTGACGAGATATACCGAAACTACTTTAAACATGGCAATTACTATGTCCACTGTAAATAAAAATACTTTTTTTAAGTGAATAATTTTATTTTGTTAAAAATAATAGGATGTTTATAGCTGCGGGCAGCAATATTCGTTACCCTGGTTACGCCTTTTACGATATCAACAGCATTTATTGAAATACTTGTTTTAGTTACATGATGGTGTATGTGACGAATTATATGATATAAAGAAATAAAGGACAACGTTGATAATAGGTGATTAGTATTAGATTATGACAATGTGTTTTCTATGCAATTACCTTGAAACACGTCTGTATATTAAATAACTACATAATTATAATATGTTATAATAATGGGCTTCTACCATACACAGCAATATGTATATCGGTTCAAGTAAAAATATTTGTAAACAGTGATTATTCTTCTCGAAAGAGTCTGCAATAATTATAAAAATGTGGAAGTTATGATAAAGCTTTTGTTTTTGGCACATAAAATAACGTAAAACCATTAATATTTCTAAATAAATCCTATACTATTAATTACGCCAGAATCGTGTGCGTAGGTTTTTCAGGCTTATAGAAATATGGAATGTACTCAAGGATGCACATTTGTGATCATCAAATTTATTAATGGTGGGATTCTATACTTTCTATGACTACAAAACGCAGTGAACGAAACAATATTAATTAGGATTTAGTTTCGTCAATTCTAAATATAGGACTATATCGTCTTTGTAATCATCAAATTTAATAATGATGGGAGCGATGTAAATAGGCTATTGTATTTATATTACTTGCATTATTATAGGCCTATATATAATTTCAGAAAAAATATATATGCCCTAGTTACGGTATTCAATTATTAATATAATTACAATCGATTGAATTATTATTATTATTATTATTATTATTATTATTATTATTATTATTATT